TATAAGCCATTCGATGACGCATAGCCTATGACACATATATGCATAATGACTCGCAACGGGTGAGTAGGCTGTATAAAGCTTTGGCCAAGCCACATAGTCTAGGGCTGTTGTGTAAATTACATCACAAAAAAAAATCAGGCCTTGTCAAAATAGGGTTAAATAATCCTCCTGCATAAAACTCAAAAGAAGCCTTAATGTTGTTCATTTTTTTGGACAGTTTCCAAACTAAATATAGTTTCTCTGGTAACTTAACGGATCACAGTCATCGCATTACTTCTATTTTATGTGGGGGGGGGGGGGGTTCACCCACATTTTTTGTAAGTCAAGGAGTTATAAATATGGGATTTAGCAAGTGACATGTATGTAAAAGATGTTATTTATTGCTTTTATCCTAAACCTACTAGTAAATAAAGAAAAGTTAGCAATTTCCATCAATGGTCCCCTAAATGTTTCTCATTAAATACAGAGATATTCACTCCAATTAACTGCTACTTCTATCCTTATTCAACTGACAGACTGTTGCCAGCATGAGCAATATTTCCTATTAAAAGATCTATATTATACTTGGGACCGTGTTATTCTTAGTTACTAAAAACAAAATATCCTTTAACCCACTTATGACATACGTCCCACATAGGAGACACCCGGAAAAGCAAACATTACCGAGTGTCCCGCCGCTAAGACACTAGATCGGACCGCAAGCCAATTTTGAAGCCACTCGGAAAACATAATTTTCGACTTGAAAATGTACCGTCACTAGTGGGTTAAGCAGTATAAAAAAAAAAAAAAAAAAAAATCACACCACAAATGGCATTTAGCTTCTTATTTAATACATATGGCACCATGCAGTTTTGAGGTTCATAGCAGATGCTCAGTAAAAATGAGGTGCTGGCAATGTTACCATGATATTATCATCTTAGCACAAAAATATGCAGGTAATCTGGTCTGCAGCTATGTATTTCATTCATAACATGCTACGTGCTACAGTTAAAAGATTTAAGGGTTATATTGCATTAGTTGGGTATTAACAGTTCTACTGCAATGTTTTTGTCTATTTTTCTTTCTTTTTTTATAGAATCATGTATAAAATCCTCTTTGACAATATGGATGAAGATCAAATTATTTCATTATAAGGTTTTATGTGATATTCTATTTTGAACATTTTCTACTTTTCTCCACTGTGAAAGTATTGGTGTCCAGTTTCCTATACGGGAACCACCCGGTTTAAAAGATGATTTTCTTGAGAGAGAGAGAGAGAGAGACAGAGAGAGAGAGAGAGAGAGAGAGAGAGAGAGAGAGAGAGAGAGAAGAGAGAGAGAGAGAGAGAGAGAGAGAGAGAGAGAGAGAGGAGAGAGAGAGAGAAGAGGAAGAGAGAGAGAGAGAGAGACAGAGAGACAGACAGACAGACAGACAGACAGACAGACAGACAGACAGACAGACAGACAGAGAAAGAGAGACAGAGAGAGAGACTGAGGGGAGGGGGAGGGGGAGGGAGAGGAGAGGGAGAGAGGAGAGGGAGAGGAGAGAGGGAGAGAGAGAGGGAGAGGGAGAGGGAGAGGAGAGAGAGAGAGGAGAGAGGGAGAGGGAGGGGAGAGAGAGAGGGAGAGGAGAGGAGAGGGAGAGGGAGAGGAGAGGGAGAGGGAGAGGGAGAGGGAAGGGAGAGGGAGAGGGAGAGGAGAGAGGGAGAGGGAGAGAGGAGAGAGAGAGAGGGAGAGGGGAGAGGGAGAGAGAGGAGAGGGAGAGGGAGAGGAGAGGAGAGGAGAGGGAGAGGGAGAGGAGAGAGGAGAGAGAGAGAGGAGAGAGAGAGGAGAGAGAGAGAGAGAGAGAGAGAGAGAGAGAGAGAGAGAGAGAGAGAGGAGAGAGAGAGAGGAGAGAGAGAGAGAGAGGAGAGAGAGAGAGAGAGAGAGAGAGAAAATGCATGTACAGGTGTGTCTGATTGTGTGTGTAATGTAATTGTTTAAATACCTCTCTTTACATGAAGAAACAAAATGTATCATTAGCTAAAATGCCAATTTAGCACTTGGAGAAAATCTGCCATAGACTTCATGGTAATATATCTACAATAAAGTGGAATTTTACAGAAAAACATTGGAGTTTCAACACAAAATATGCTGTGTTAAAATATTACTTATCAAAAATATATACCAAAAAAAAGAAAGCAGAATTCCTAACAAATATTTCCAACATAATTCATGGGAATTTTTTAGCATTACATAGTTCATAACACTATGTTTGACTACTGTGTGGTAAATTGATACATGGATCACTGTAACTCTGGACCGTATATGTGCAAATGTTTTTATTAGATTGCTGGGCTGCATCAGTCAAGGTGTCAAATTCGCTCGAAGAGTCACAGCAAGAGGTTGCACCACCACATTCACTTTGTAGGTGTGATTTTTTGTTTTTGGTTTTATTCTGTGCGTTTCTTTTTGCTTCCAATAAAATAAATTCTTACTTTTTCCACTTTCTCACATCAAAATAAATTACGATTCTTAGACAAAGAATTTTTGAGACATGGTTTTAATGATGTTTTTCAAGCAGTTTTGAATTTTCAACATGGTGAAGTGAGCACTGAGGCAAACTGCTCTACAGGATATAGACTACCAGAGAAAAAAAGGAAAAGGAGTCAAGCTGGTGGATGTGGTACTCAGTCTGCTTTTTCTTTAGCTGACAGACCAGAAATACAGAGGAGATGCTGCCCTGAGACACCAGGACACAGGATGGAGCCCAAACCAGGATGGCATGTGTGAGCTAAATTTTCTGCCAGAGGATTTCATCCACGAGAACTCCAGGAAAACAATGGCAGTGCAAGATTTTGAAACCAGATGCTCTTGCTTCCATCTTCAACTGCATTTTCTGCAAGTATCTAATTCTATGAAAATATATTTTCCTGATACTTTTGGTACATCTTGAATTAATATTTGCAGTGGTGCTGTGGTGTGGGTATGAAGATGAAGAAATTCTAAATTCGTTTACAATGTACCCAATTTACTATTTACTATCTACACTGATCAAAATTCCTGAAAATGTCTCCTATGTTATCACAGTTTCTAAAATATGAGTACTAAGGCTTTACTCCTATTTCTTTTTCCTATTCTTGTATCTTTTTAATAAAACTAAAACATTCTCTGTGGTGTGGTTGACACTTTTTCTCAATAGAAATATGGTGCATTTGTTTTTAGGCTAATAGTGAAATAATGTTTATTAACCCACTAACAACAGGATCCCCCAGCACATTATACTGAACCAAGTGACAATGCACATACAGTAATAGAATTTCCAAGCTCTTTATGCTCATTTGTTAACATAAATAATCGTCTAGGTAGTGACACTAAAAAGAAGCTTTAATCTTACTTTTAAGAGCTGCTTCTCAGTAATGTCTATAACCATGGCCAAACAAGTGTGCTACTATCTAGCACACACAATTTTGAGAAAGCTCAACTGCACATGATGTGGGGTCATCCCAGTATAAGGGATAGTCTGCCAAGATGTGATACAACATCATTCCAGCCTGAACAGATTAATAGGCAGTCTGGTCTGGTTAGTTACATATTTCTCGCAGTGCAGGCTATATCAGCTGTAAAATAGTTCATTTGTACAAAGCATAGTTTTGCTTCTTTATTTATGGGAATACTGAGTTGTTTGTCAAAAGGTTCCTAATGTAGTATAATTACTGTAATTTATTGTTTTTCAGAGTTTAGCCTGATTGGTAACATTGTTCCTTTATCACTGTGAGGCTATTGTTTATTACCAATCTTGGTAGCTGAAAGGGTTGACCATGGTAGGCCAGATGATTTTGAAAGTTTATTAAGTACTGAAAAATAACATTAACATTGTATTTCAAAACACTTGCAAGAATCACATTCAAATGGTATGAAAATTTTACATGGTAACATAATCAGATTTCAGTAACTTCTAATTCAAAAATTATAGTTGGCATACAGAAATACTGCAGTAAGAAGGTACAATGTATTAAAATGTTACTGACCCTGAGCATACATTTTGATGTGTAGCCTGCTTTCATCTATTGTCATCCAATCAAATAATTTCAATCATAATGAAAAAAAGAATTCCAAATTATAATCAGGAACATTTTTCGTCTTTGCCACTGAGCAACCTACATCCATGAAATCTTTGTCAGCCATGCGTCAGATCTCCAGGAGAAGAATGAGGCTTTTTTCACCGTAGGAAAGGTTTCATATTATGCAAAAGGCAAAGATAGTTACATGGAGATGTAAAAAAAAAACAGTTACTAAAAGAAAAAGAAGGTTACAAACTTCACACAGTTTAATGTATATGTGTACTATGCTCTTTGTATTTGAAAATGAATTCTCTCAGTTATGAACTGAAAACGTGTGAAAATTTGCATTGATATCCAGCTAACACTAGTTTCATTGAAACAGGCTTTGGGGCCGTTTTGCAATGAGCAAATATTCTATGTACAGTCCAGAGTTACTTTGATCTATAACTAATAATCAACTCCATTAATTGCTTTCTGCCATAATTATTTAACTGGAAGCATATATATTTTTTTCCTTTTTCCTTCTTCCCTTTTTGAATTACATTCAGGCAATTAGAGGAAAGGATGAATAGAATGCGATATACCCAACCTGATAAATCTAGTTGGATATAAAAAAAAAAATCCAAGTGGTCCCTTTTAAAATGTGTATATTATCCATTTTCCTTTTTCTTTGCATCAGATAGATGGAAGATTAATCATAAACTTCTCAGCACATACATGACAATTTATTTATAAATTCCACTAATCAGATTTAAAAGGCTACTGATTGGTCCTTCTCTCGTATAGTGTAAAGCACTTTTGAACAAAACAAAACAAAAGTGATAAAATAAAATAAAATAAAATCTAAATGTTTTATCTTTAATTTAAAAGTATTGCACTCTTTTAATAAATTAATATCATTCTATTACTTATTAGTGCTGGAGAATCCCAGTTATCTTTAAAAAACGAATTTTTACTCAACAGAAAATTTTAAAGGCAGTGAACATATACCATAACTAACATGATGCCTTATCATAGGAGGTTTGTACAAAAATAAGATATAATCTAAGGTTATGATTACTTTTATGGAAGTTTCTTCCATATATATTCAGCAGTCTCTCTTTTATAAAAGTTTCAAAAGTAAAGTACAATAAGAAACGTAATCATTACTTATCGTACATATATCTCACACAGTGGTTTAAGAAGTTCAAATTACAAAAGAACATTTATCTTTAGATCAGTTATCATGTATATTAATTAGGAAAAGGTTATCCACTGTCTATGTATCTCTTTATACTGTGTCATTTCCAAATAATATTCCAAATAAAATTTGAGCAAAAACTGATTTCAAAACTTGTATCAAAACTTTCTGACAATTCAATTAAACACTCTTTTGTTTTCTAATGAAGATAGACCACTATACAATCAACATCAGTTTCCATGCAAAACAGCATTCATGTATAAGCAAATTACAAGCACAAGTGAAGGAACGTTTTTCTAATCATTCCAGTAACACTAAAACTAAGAATAAAAAATCACGAATCCACATTTTTGTCCAAGTATCTCCATGGTGACTAATCATTTTCCAAGGGGGACAGAAAGCAAAGATCAGCCTTGATAGGATGAAGGGGAGGGAGGGGAATTCTATCACAAAAAAGCATCTCCACAGAGAAATGGGCACAACAATAAGACAGACAGGGTGCAAGGACACTGGGAAACTTCTCTACAACTATGACTACACATAGGATTGTGTAATTGGTTTTGATATAGTTTTTGGTGTGGTACAAAATCTCCCCCTCGGCCAAGAGGTCTTTTGTAGAAAATGAATTCTCCTCCACAAGCATAGTCTTTGTGATACAGCTAGAGGCATACAATCAGTCCAAATGGAGTAGCAGTGTACTCTTTGGACAAACACTAAGCACAACATACAGAAACAATTCTACATCTACCTGAGAATTCAGTTTCTATAAACACCCTCTCTTTCTGAAACATCCACTTCAAATATAAGCAAAGTAAAGTTCTGCTAGAACCATGTCTAAGCTGACAAGTTCCATCATAATTAATAGCAGGTAACAAGAATTATGAATAATGCATCAGTTGAATTATTGGACATCAAGCACTGCCAATTAATTTGATACCAATATGAGAAGGAGAATTGTCCTTATCACAATACTATCTAATCATTGGGGAATCATCGTGCCATGAACAAAGCAATGTGTCCCTAGTTACCGCTACCCTCCACCATATTAATAAAAATTAAGTTTACTTTTTCAAGGTTCAGCTCTTGAACCTTACCCAGCTACTTATTCTGGGTGACCAATTAATAAAACTTACTGACTGTTTTTTACCCAGGTTGTCCTGGCCTGGGAGGGTCTGAATTAGAGGGTGGAGGTCAGGCAGGGTCATGTTGTTATTAGTCGTGGATGTCGCGATAGGGTATTTCGGAGGAGACCTGGTAGTCATCGAAGAAATGATGCAAGTAGTCAAAGGTAGGTCGTTGATCAGGATACTTATCCCAGCAATGTAGCATCACTTCGTATAACTCATCGGGAGCTCGTGGAGGCTTGGCCATTCGGTAGCCCATCTGGACTTTCTCTATGACCTCTCGGTTATTCATTCCTGCAAGGCAAATCAAGCAATGCAAAGCTAAAGGCATAAGCTAGCAATAGGCAATGATAATCTATATCCTTCAAATTATATAATATATTGGTAAACCTAAGAGAATATAAAAAATATAGATCTGAGTAAACATGTATCTATCATTGATATGAAGAAATCACAGATGCTAAAAATGTCTTGTGAAATTCTATCTTTCAGACTATGCTCTTATTATGTGTGCTTTAAAATGCTTAACTCCACTAAATCATTCAACATGATTCAAAATTTCTATGCAAAAACTTCTTATGTAAGACACATTGATCATCCTTCTCATACAGAACTATCCAAAGAACTTGAAAATAGCAAATGTGTAGATCAAAGCATAATAATCAAGTGTGCAATTAGAACTAGTAATTATATTGCAAGAATAATTAGGCAATTTTGCAATGTCTGACTTGAAGCTAGCTATAGTCTGAAGCATGACTTATGGCTGACCCCTATTGATATTTTTCTACCAACAATTGCATGTTAATGAATAAGCAGTATAAAACAAAAAAATCAGACAGACCTGGGTATGGGTTAGCACCATAGGTAATCACTTCCATTAGTAGAATACCAAATGACCAGACATCGGACTTGATAGTAAAGCGGTTGTACAGCATGGCTTCAGGTGCTGTCCATTTGACAGGGAATTTATTACCTAGAAAAGAGAAGTTAACATGAGAAAAAACATAACTAAGTAAAATCTTATATTTAAAGATTGAAAAGCCCTACTAAGCTAAGGGCTAATGGCAAAGAAAGCATCCACCTGTATACATCAAAACTTAAGCTAAAAGTTAGTACTACAGAATATATCATGACAGACTTACATGTGCTTGGGCAGTAGTCTTCTCCTTCCACAATTCGGGCTAAGCCAAAGTCTGCCACTTTACATGTCAAAGATTCACCTACTAATACATTACGGGCAGCAAGGTCTCGATGTAACAACTGTTTGCTCTCTAGGTAAGCCATACCTGCAGCAACCTGGAAAATATGGTACCTTTAAATTCTCAAGTTCTTGGTTTATAACATCAATAACATCTATAACTTCATCCTCTCCTTTTTGTTAACTGGGAACTAAATTATCTGGCTGATGGCCCAAATCAAGGTTTGTACTCAACTTACCTTTCCCTATTAGTTATGAAACACATGGAGTGAGAGGGAAGTAGAATTTATGGAATGTAAGGTTTTAAATTAAGCAACTTACTATTGACCTATGAGCCAGAGGGTAAAAGGGGTAAAAGGGATAATGGAAAGAAAGAGAAGAGCAAAAGAGACTAACCTGTGTTGCCACATATATTAAGTCATTGAGTTTGAGGGTGCGCTCGCCCTCATTCCTGAGCAAATCTAGCAGTGCACCATTACACATATACTCAGTGACTATTAGTATAGGTTCTTCTTTCGTACAAACAGCATAAAGTACAAGAATATTACGATGCCGTAATTTTTTCATAATTCTGGCTTCTTCTAAGAAGGCAGAAGGACTCATTGCTCCTTGTTTTAGGGTCTTGATGGCAACTTCTGTAGAGTTGTTCCACATACCTGATGAGGAAATGCAAGTAATTGTTATAGCAACTGCTCCTAACAACAATCACTAGAGCCAGTCAAACATTTTCAGAACACAAAAACAAATATGAATTTGCAAGAGTAACTTCTTTCAGGAAGCAAAGAAAGATTTGATGTCATATTGGTATTTCATTAATTTTGTTTTCAAGCAATTCACATTTCTCTTCTGCATCTTGTATTTGATTTCTATCACCAATAAAAAAAAACTGCATCACACTCTGTATACAGATATAAAAACTAAAACAATAGTTAATGGACTTCATGAATTTCAAAACTATATAAATCAATCTAAACTAAAATCCTTTAGAAATATAAGTTATATGTAAATATGCACTTCAAAAGGATGTTTCACTTATCGTACATAATCTGTTACTATCAATCCCTCCATCATAAATGAAAGAAAATCAAACTTACCATACCACACTTCACCAAAGGAACCTTGTCCTAACTTCTTGTTCATGGAAAGAGTGTTACGGTCAATCTCCCACTGATCTTTGGTCTCTCGTGACAGATCCCATTTCTGGGGTTGTGGACGTGGACATGGGTATTGCAAGAGACATGCTAGCCCATAGTTGTTTCCTGGAAAAGGTGTTCATAATCTCTTTCTTACAAATGTAACACTGCATACCTTCTGCTCTAGACACTGGAAGCTGATGTTTGCATCAATCAGGATTCCTCTAAATAAATTTATAAAGCAAAGTTATATTCCACTCCATAAAATTAACTAAAATATATACATCTTTGGAATAAATTACAAAACTTTTCTTTTACAAATGTAAACAACTGGGGACATCATAGCTAAATCAATCCAACCCCTCACTTTTATAGGCATCCACCAGGTCATTGAGTGTCCGGAAAGCCTGTGATGAGGTGATGAAGAAGCCTCCATTGTCAGTGACCTTGATTCTGTAGTGCTTGACATGTTCTCCCTTTTGTTGGTCCCAATCCTGAGAAAGAACAACCCTGGTTACTACTCTGTTCCCTTAGTATAGATTTCATTTTTCTTTTTCTATGACACCTCACAGCCCTTCAAGATATGGTCTTTTCTCTATATTTCACCTTAAAAAAATCAGAAATGCCAACAAAGATCATAAACTTTGCCACATTAACTCATCCTTTGATCCCCACCCCACCCCCCCAAAAAAAAAATCTGCATATTTACGCACAAACACTGCAATTTAAATAAACTAGTACTCATATATCCAGGCATACAATTATACATTTTGATATTACTCTATACCCAAAACACCATTAAAAAAATAAAACAAATACAAAAACTAGTAGTAGTAGTAGTAGTAGTAGTAGTAGTAGTAGTAGTAGTAGTAGTAGTAGTAGTAGTAGTAGTAGTAGTAGTAGTAGTACTAGTAGTTTAGTAGTAGTAGTAGTAGTAGTAGTAGTAGTAGTAGTACTAGTAGTACAGTAGTACTAGTAGTAGTACTAGTAGTACTAGTACTAGTACTAGTAGTACTAGTACTAGTAGTACTAGTACTAGTACTAGTACTACTAGTACTAGTAGTACTAGTACTAGTAGTACTAGTACTAGTACTAGTAGTACTAGTACTAGTAGTACTAGTACTAGTAGTACTAGTAGTAGTAGTACTAGTAGTAGTAGTAGTAGTACTAGTAGTACTAGTAGTACTGGCAGTAGCAGTAATAGTACTACTAGTACTACTATTATGATGCGTTCGGAACTGATCGTCTATCTCGTCCAGACCAGTTGGACGAGATATTTTGACCGTTCAGAACCTCCACTATCTCGTCCCGGACAAGTAGTCTAGCTCGTCCAACTCGCCCTCCTGCAAAGGTGGGCGAGCAGGATGAGATGATGTCACAATAGATTTTGTATGTAAACATTGACAGTTGCAGGTAACCACAAAATATTGGTGGGTAATTTTATGACTCTTTATTGATGTTATCAAAGGATATTTTTGTGTTTGTCAGCTGCAGGTAAGTTAAATATGCATCAAAGTTACAAAACCTATGCAGCGTGTAAAATAAAGACACCGGTATGATAAAAAAGTGAATGTTTACATTCGAGCCGGTTGTATTCTGGGCAGAAAGGGTCTTGGAGGTTCCGACCGCGGCCCAATTTTCCTGCTGGTCCTGGGCAAGTTGTCTGGACGAGAAAGACGAGCAGTTCCGAACACAGCATTAGTACTAGTACTATAACTAGTACTACTAGTGCTACTACAAGTACTACAAGTACTACTACTACTACTATTAATAACAACAATCATCATCATCATCATCATCATCATCATCATAACAATAATAATAATAATATTAGTAATAATAAAAACATTAACAATATTATTGTTATTAACAATTATCATCGTGATCATCATCATTATTATTCATTCATCATTCACCATCATGATCATCATCATAATATCAACAAAAGTAACAGTAATAATAATAATAATAGTTATAAAAGCCAAAATAACAATATAATAAAAATAATAACAGTAATAATAATTATATGAACAATAATAATAATTATACAAATAATAATGATAGTAACTATAATAATAATGACAATGATAATAATAATAATAACAATAACAACTATGATGATGATGACACTAATAATGATGATAATAAAAACAACATTAACAATAACATACATAAATATGCATTTTTGATCTGGCTTATAAGGATTTCTGCAGAAACAACTGTCAACACTCACCCTTATACTTAGGGAATATCCATGACTAGATTGTTCCGACATACGGATGAGAAAAGTGCCTCTTAAGTTCCCCCGTGTCATTAGTAATTTTTCTGCTTCTTTCCTGGCTATTTTGCCAAAGTACCAGCTGCAAAAAAAAAGAAACCATGTATAATGTTATCACTTCTACATACTTATAAAGCTGAAAATATTTGTTTATCACAAGACAAGCCAAAGACAATCAAAATGTACTGTACAGATTTTACATTACTTACTCTTGGCACTCAAGTGAAGATGTGGATGCAACATAGTTCTTTGGAATATAGCCGTCAATGCCATGTGTCATATGTCGCGCTAACCACCAGTCAGCATCACTGTAAATGAAGGAGAGGATCATGAATATTCATTCCCATATTCTCAATTCTGAGTGTATGTATAAAAGTGTATGTACATTGGAAGAATTCTTTCCCATAAAGTTAATTTCCTGGTTAACTTACGCATCATTGAGAATCTCCATCCTGTCTCCCTTCTCAAAGGTGAGTTCGCCATTGCTGCGACCCTGGAATGAGTACATGGCCACCACGACCCGGCCTCGCGATGGCGTCGATGGCGTGACTGGTTCTGGTGAGATTTAGAGGACTTTCAAAACAGTGTAAAGAAAAAATGTGAATAAAAATCATAGTGAAAAGAGAGACTGCAAATACAGATGCTTTTTTTTTTTTTTTTCTTTTTTTAAGAAATGAAAAGAAATTCAAGTATTAAACCCTTAAACAGCAAATACAGTTTCTATGACTAATCTCAAAGATAGGGAATAAAAATATGATTAAAATGCAGTCAAGTCATATCACAGCTATTTTCATTATTATACAGGCATGTATCACATTAAGTTGATGACCAGAAAACTTAATCTTGAAAGAGTTCATCAGTTGGATTGAAAGCTCCATTTCTTCTAATCCACAGATAAATTGAAAATACTTCACAGACGTTGTTTGATCAGCAATAGTATTTTGCTTTCACCAAAATTACTTACATAACTCTTTAAAACTGCTTTTCACATCCTATCTATTTTTAATTTGTTGATGTGCTGAGGTAAAACACTAGTTACATCTTTTCCAATCAATATTTTGCAGAAAAGGGATTTAGTCATCTTTACAAACTTCATGATGATCTTTCTAAGATATTTCTGCATCCTAGAGTGGCACACCAATCATCAAACAGTTCAACTTGATGATATTCAATACAGTAATATGCAGTCAACTGTGTATCAAAAGCTATTATCAAAACTACATGCACTCAGCACTTCATGTCACTTGTTAGCTTCTAGATTAATTTTCAAGTACTTTAACATCACACTCATTACACTTGATATAATAAATATAAAAGCTAGCCAACATTCTATTTTCCTTTACCTTTGTGTAAAGTTTGCTTCAGATATGAAATATTCTTGTGCATGCCATACTGCTCCATATAATTGCATACACCATACTGCAGTGTCAATGGGGGTTAGTGATTCATTAAACAAACAAACATATATTACAATATAAATGTCCAGAGATATATGTTAGTCCCAAAAGAGAAAATCCTAAGCTCCAGTTCATACTTTTTGTTGTCTTACTGCTACAAGACAAACATTGAGATAAGAAATAAAGGACACAGCTTATATTAAAGCAAAAGCACAAACAAAAAAGGGAAAGCTATAGAAAGGAAGCATAATACAAGCAGCAAATCCAAGCAAAAGAGTCATGCATGAAAAAATAATAATAATAATTGTGGGCTATAATCAAAAGGTAATATTACATGAATATACTTGTATAGACTGGTGCAAAAATAAATATGTGAATATACAATGATGTTTTACATTTAGAAAAAATATATATACATACATCTGACTCTTTTAAACATAGTCATGGATCCCATATATCTAAAAATCAATGATGACTGAACTTCAAGAATACTACCATGTGACTACAGCCCTTATACACCACCAACATACCTGGAGTGTTGGATCTGGGTGTCCATCGTTGCGAACACCTAACTGTATCATTCATAAAGACCAAACAAAATTAGGTATAACAAAGAGAAATTTGAAAGAAAACAAATAAGTGAAATATAAAAGGGATTTCTGTCTACACATCCTAAAACCAAATGAAAGAAGTATACATATACCACTTAAATATATGAAGAATAATTCATCATGCAAAAGAACTACAAAAACTAATTAATAGACAAATAAATTTCATTCTCAAACCCAAGACAAACACGAGAGAAAGATGAGAGAACCTGGTCTATATAAAACATCTAAAAGATCCACATGAGTGATATGTTAGAAGAAAAACATTCCTACAATATATTAAACCATATACCTTACATACTTTGAAATTAAATTAATTTCACATATGGTGATACAACCTAGTATTATGTGCGTGTGTGAGGCTGCATGTGCATATGCGTTTCTGGATGCATTGCTTTCAGTATTTATCAGTATGTATTCATGTATGAATGAATCTGCATGTGTCTGTCTGGAGGAGCATGAGAGAGATTATGAGTGTTTGTCAGTTTGAATAAGTGTGTCAGTTAGTGTGAATGAGAAAGAGAGAACATGTGAATGTGAATAAGTGTGTGTGTGTCTGTGATGGTAAGTGTGAGTGAGTGTGTGAATGGAAGTATGTACATCAGTGAGTATTAATGTAAGTGCAGGAATTTTTAAATACTAGTTGGGTGAAAGATCATATTGATGCATGTTAGCATAAGCCCACACATGTGCTTGTGCATTCTACATGAATGGGCATGTGTGTGCAATATAGAATATATTTGTACCTGCACAACTGACTTATATTTATTGATACTTACAAAATCATTAAACATAAACAAGCATAAACCTTAAACATTCACAAATAATCTGTAACAAATTCTGTTCCCACAGAGCTAACTTCAATTGATAGGTATTACTGTGTGCATCAGGAAGAAAAAGGATCGAATGGCTTAGAACAGAAAAGGAATCTCAAGAAATAAGATGTACCCAAGAGAAATTTTAGAAGAACAAGAGGGATATAATATGATAATGAAAAATAAGATCAAAAAAAAACATACCATTTCACTGAAATCACATTAGATAAAGATT